ACATACATACAACAGATTCACTACCTTACCCTTCCCGAACCACATAAACAAACGACCTACGGGCTGCGCACCCGTGCCCTCACGGTAAGTCAATCAGCCTGGTCTTCCGCAGGACAAATGACGGTTCGGCGAGGCCAAAACGGGAACAGTGCGCACAAGTTCCCCAATACGCCTGTTCATTCCGCAACCCCGGGGCTAGGTCCGACTTGCGCAAATTAGGAGATTTTGGCCGTTGATCTTTGCTATCTACGGTCCGTCTCTCTTAATCCGTGCGAGTGGGACCTAGCCCCCAGGCGGAGACCGGGCATATCCTCCGATTTTAGGGCTAGCGTCCTCCGCTCACGCGCCTCTGGCGCGCGCCCCTGCTCCGCTTACGTCTTCTTTTGTCCAGCTGTCACGCTCAGCTGCGGGGTTTGTCACTTTAGGTCCGGTAAAGAGGCGCGTTGGCGCGCGGGGATGTCAGGGAAGTGCCGATCGTCGGGCGGACAGAATGAACTGCGAAGGTGGTCGTCTGGGAAAAACACGACTCGGGGGCAGTGAGTTGGAATCCATGACTCGCGGGGAGTGAGTTGGCATCCATGCCGAATGTGTTTGAACTCTACGGCTTGCTCAGGCAGTCGTCGTGTTGTGCTATTGATTGATTGATTGACGGTTAAGTACTTTTTTGCTTACGCGTTGATGGTTTGCCAGACAGTCGTGCATTCATTCCTCCTAATAGGACGGTGACAAACCATCAACGTGTCGGACGCTGACGCCTCGTGGAGCTGACGCCTCGTGGAGCTGTTGTCAGGTGTCGGACGCTGACGCCTCGTGGAGCTGATGGCAGGGAAGGCGACTTGCCCGCCACGGCAATCTGCGGAACAGATGATTGAAGGTAGGTACATCCCTTGGAGCATGCCGTTGGAGCGGAGCAAGACCAGTCTCGAAAGAGATCAATTGTTTGACTGTCGTGTTTGCCTTGTGTACTGCCTCTTCTCTAGCATTGCAACGGAAGTGGGCAATCCTCTGAATTTTTTTTTTTTTTTTTTTTTTACAGTCTGAATTTGATCTGCGCAAGGAATGCGAAATCTTTTAGTCCGTTTATCCCTTCTCTAGCATTTAGTGGTTGCCACGTGTGCCTGGTTGTCATCCCTGTCGCATTGTTCTTACCAATCATGCGACGTGTTTGGTTCGTGGCTTGATCTGTCTGGGCTGTTTTTGATTAGTATTTGGAGGAGGGACGACTCGGGAGTTTTTTCTTCCCTCCCTCTCTCTCTTTTAAAGGATCAGGGCTCTTTGATTCGGTCGGGCGTGGCTGGCGTGCTTCGAATTTGATAGGTGGGGAATTGTTTTGCTTCTCAATCCTCTGCGGGAAGGGTCAGAAATCTATTATCTGGGCGTGTCCACTTCGCGCATGATGACGATTCTTGGGTCTTCAGTGGGAGAAAGACTGTTTCTTTTAACCTCCTTTTCCCCGCCTTGCAACATCAGTAAGGACAAGCCACTTGACTGTTTTATTCTTCTTGTGTGTTTTTACAAAGCTTGATCCTAGGAGAGACTCGTCCTCCAATTGCCAATCGTCAGGTCTTGGATGCATGGGGACTCGGATCTCGGCCTTGTTGGCAGAACGCGCCCGCGCTTGTATGTGTATGCCAATGTGTGTGTGTGTGTGTGTGTGTGTGTGTGTGTGTGTGTGTGTGTGAGAGAGAGAGAGAGAGAGAGAGAGAGAGAGA